GCACATACCGGAGCAAAATAAAACTACACTGTGCATCAGAAGGGCAAAAATGCATCTGAGCAGAAATCTCTTAGTCGCTACTCCTGGTACCAGACAGGGTTGGGCAGACACCTCATCCATGTTTTTAAATGGGTACAAAATAGTAGAGATTATTAAAATCCTTCACATTCTTCACATTTCTCCTTTCATCCTAGGCTTGACTTGACAGCTCTGCTCCTGAAAGCAGCAAAAGTCCAGATGCAATTAAACACTAGTAAAGGTTTAGGGTATCTGCTTAAGAATCTTCATCCATGTAGAATTAACAGCTCTGTGGACTGTTTTAAGAGTGATCATCATGCATTTGCCAGTGAGATAAACGGGGCGCAGCCAAGCTGCAGAGACTGCAGATTTCTTCCATCCATGTGCTGTTGGATCTGACTTGCATCTCCACTGCCTTGAACTCATGTATTTATTTGGTGATACATAGTGGGCCCTTCTCATAGCAGCAGCAATCTGGTTGTCTTCTACTCAATCATGGATAGAGTTGGTCTATCTAGTGCTGCTTTTTCTATAAACCTCTCTTTGATTTGCTAAATGGGAAATGCAAAGAAGGGTAGTTGTTGCATTTCCAATATAATTTTTTCTTCTACTTTGAATGCTCTTATGTTTTTGGTCTGCTCTAGCAATAAAATGACTGAAAATAATTTTGAAAGGCTCATTTAACTAAGCAGAAAAGGAATCAGACTCGTAATCGATAACTGACTCCTGGAACATAGCTAAAGCCAAGGGTATAATCTAACAGGAGGCTGACACTGCAAACTTGTATATAATGCATAGTCAGGCCTCAACAACAAACTTGTTTATTCAGTCGCGATTTGATGTTTTGTTTAACAGGAGCGTATCTCAGCTCTAACGCTATATAAAAGAGCAAACTGTCAAAAGCATCACCCCATAACCTGACCTGATTCAAAAAAAAGCTATACAAATACATAATATCTGCCACTGCTTCTAGAGAGATTTCATTTTGATGGAAACCAAGCAAGAACATAAAGATCAAGCTATTTCACTAACCTAATAACTGCACTAGATTTGGGTGCTTGATTTCCTTCATTACAGCAGCTTCTTTCAAGAACTCTTCCACCTCCATGGTATCTTCCTGGATGAAAAGGGAGACAAAAGATGAGCACATTTATCTTTATGACCAAGGTCTGTTTAACACTACATATTCTAGCTGAACGTAAACGATAGTACCCTCAGCTCCATTTTGCTATTTTGGCTTTTACCAAAGCAAAAAAAAGGACGATAACACAGCTGAAAAGCTGGCTGGCTAGCTTGTAGCATGGCCAAGTGACAGATATGCACTACCCAGAATGTGCTATGCCTTCTTGTTTGGGAGCTACTGCAGCTACCAAAGCAGTGTGGCTGATGAAAGCAAGACTCTCGGGTCACTGACTTATTTCCACTGTCCAGCTATAAAAATGGAGTTTCAAAGCTCTCTTAGGTAGGAGGTACCTAGAATTGCAACTAGGAATCGCTGAAACAAACAGAAGCCTTGGATAAGAAATACAAATGGAGAAGCTGAATTTTTCCAGGAGTAGGGGAAAGCTTGTAGATGTCGTTTCCAACACCTTCGGTTTCTTAGAAGCCTCTGCGTCTCTCCTGAGGGAAGAGACGTGGACTTGGTAACCGTTTCTATAGATCTGACTTGGACGTGCAGCCCCTGTAGGGGCTTGCTGGGCCAAAAAAATCCGAATTGTTTCCAAGCCACGTGCATAGTGGCAAGTTCAATATGCTAACTTCGTTCTGCATACTACTCTCAACTATGGATTTTATACAGATCAGCAATATATTTTTATCGTTAGGTGGCAGAATTGAGAACACATTACAATTCCCTTATGCCTGAATAGAAATGGTGGCAGAATGACTGGTAAACAACAATCTAAAAACTCACTTTTAACGTTTTCACAGCAACTGTGAGATTGTATTTCTTCCAGACGCCAACATACACTTCGCCATACTGCCCTCCCCCAAGTTTATGCTTCATGGTGATATCTGTTCGCTCCATCTCCCACTTGTCGTGGATGGGGGACACTCCATAGACAGTGGGCTTATTGCACTTGGGTGCTGGGTAATGCAGAGTTGTCACCAGTCCATCTGCTACTGTTGAGTGATGATGTACCAGCTCTGCTAGGGTGCTGAAACGGCTTTCTGCTGTCACATATACCTGTTGAGAAAGAACCAGGAATCTAGTTAAAAGAAGGGAGCTGGAAGCTTTCAGTAACACTGGAAGACAGGTACAGTCAAAATGTTGTAATGGCTTAAAAAAAAAAAAAAAAAGCATGGAAAACATAATGTAAAGGAGTAATTGTTCACAGTTTGGGCAAATGGAGGAGGAAATTAAGGAGGGGCTATCACTCGAGAGCAGGGCTGTCTCCTGCCTCATGCTTTATAGGACTAAAAACTGGAATTCTTGTAGCCGAGAGTTAAGTCCAGTCTCTGCATCCCTCAACACAACAAACTGTTATGTGATTGATCAAGATTAAAAATGTTGATTTAATAAAGTTCTCCATGTTCCAACGGGACCAGTGGAAAGGTATCAGTGCATCTTTGCTCCCACAACTGCTCTGCTCCCCAGCTACGCTCTCAGCCAGGATAAATACTGTCTGCACTTCTTCCAAAGTGGTGTTCTGTGAGTTAAGAAACACAGCATAGAGAGAGAGAGATTCCTTTCTTTTACTAATAAGCCAGTAGGCCTGTTTTCTCTCACAGGCATCCCTCCCTTAACTAACAGTCTGCAGCTTAGGAATCTGCAACACCTCTTAATTAACATCCTTATTTCCTCTCCCCACAGCGTTGTCCAGAGAACCTTACCTTTCCATCTGAGGTGGTATTGATCCTGTAGTGGTAAACACGTCCTTCGTACCTGAGCGAGATGGATAGCTGCCCTGGGCTGCTCTCGCTTTCACGAACCAGGAAGCTGCCGTTGATGAGACTGCTCAACAGATACTCGGCTGCACTGCGTGACACTGGCCCATGATACCACGAATGTTTTTCCAGGCTGTTCACTGGTGTGATGTAATTGCTTGGTACCCAGCCCTGCCCATTCTTAGAACGTACCTCGCTCCATTCACCATTCTGGTTATAACCCAGGACTCGCAACTTCTCACCTATGACCAGAAAGAAAAAAAAGCAAAATAATCACAATGCAATCTATTGGGTCTCATTAAGAGAGGCGCTATCTGCTGACGAAGCCTGGGTTTGTAGCTAAACAATAAAAATCTGCAGCAGTGAACTCATAATTACATTGCTTTATTTAAAATATTTAAAAAGTAAAGTTTCAGATAGATAACAGTTTAGGATACTGTTCCCTAATTTACTGCACTTTGGATGATCAACTCAAAAGCTTCCTGTGGTTCAGATTTTTTGGTGAGAAAGACTTTTTTTTTTTTTGGACGGCTGAGGATTGTCTCCATCTTGAAACCTTAAATGGCATTTGACTTAAAACAGTTGTGCAACAGGGTATATTCTGATATACGTACTAAATACAGATAGAAAAATCTCTGAGCAGTTCTTAAAATTCTTGATTTTGTTCCAGTTGAAACTGGAGTTTCAACTTCAGTTGAAATTTTTGCCCTGTCATCACCAATAATGTAAAGGATCTTCTCTCCTCCTTCCCAAAATAAGTGTCTCACAGGGCAGGTGATTTGAGGAGCTTACGATGGTAACAACAATAGCTGTCTGGCTTGTTAAGCGGCGTTATAAAATGCCCTCACTGTACTAGGAGAACTGCCCGGCAGGTGTCCCTCTAACACAAGTGAGAGCGTACCCACACTGGCCATCAGCAGTTTAAAGAGTAATCTCCAATTGTATTTGCTCCTGTTCTTTCCAGCAGAATGACTGGAGAAGGAGTCAACTTTCTATTTGGTGTTGCTGTGTTTGCAACCTAGTTGCTGCTCTGTGATTCAGAGCCTTACCTTTGGTGATGCTGAGTGTGTTGTCACCGCTTGCTACAAAATCGTAAAGTGCAACAAAGAGATTGGGATCGCTCTCAGTGGCTCCAAGCAGGTTCTCCTTGGAGCTCCATCTGATGGCTTCGTTCAGTGCCTGGGGTTCAACGTCACAACCATAGGGGCGGTGCAGGGCCTCTAAAGAAAGAACAGATGAGGAAATTACTTTGTGTGCAATTGTAAATAAATCAAAATCCAGTATAGAGCAAAACAAAGCTCCTACTGCACAGTATGCTCTTTATGGAAAGGGAATACCACATCTGGACATCTCGGATCAGTGGTTTTCAACCCCCACCTTACTGACTCTTTTAGAAGTAACTCAGAGAATGAGTTACCTCTAAAGTTACTATCGGTAACTTCCATAAGTTACTTCTAAAAGCAGACTGGAAAAGATTATTAATTTTTCTATGTACCAAACAGCAGCCCTGTGCATAAAATTTATTGGGGGAGACTGAACCTCTATTTGAAAGTGGTTTGACGAAACGAAGGAAAAATGTCTATACTTAAGCGTTACGTTTTTTATCTCTGTGGTTTCTGTGGCTGAAGTAGATAGCGTGGATTTGAAGCCAACGTTGTAGACAGGTAGGACAGACTGAATGTGACCTCTAGGGTTGGTATAGTGGCCAATTTGGCATTAGTAGGAATGATGGTGATTTGTGATACGTTTCAAGACCGTAAATAAGAGGTTAGAAACCGGCAGGGACAGCAAGTGGTAAGGGTGATGTTAGGTGTTACTGGCAGCCTTCCTGAACACCCAGATAATTCTGTTCTGCTGTTTCAAATGACAACTGATGCAAACTTGACAGTAAAAGGACATGGGGGAAGGACCAGGCTTGAACCTGGTTTATAGGCCAAAGAAAAAAGTCCCCAAAGTTCCTGTAATGATAAAAATAATCTAAATGCAACAGGTTTTGGAAAAAAAAATGTAGTAAAAAACAAATGTGAATGCACGCTTCATGTTAGTGCTATGATCAGAAAAAAAAAATGCAAGGCCATCATTAGCTTTCTAATCCACAGAGAGGTTTTCCAGGAACACGCAGCAGAATAAAATTCCCTATTAAGACAAGAGAAAGAGAGATGATGTAGCTTCACACATGTGGGCTGCTCAAGGGAGGGCTGAAAAAAATGTAAGAATACAAATATTTCCTCTGATGGCATAACTGATGAGTTCCTGCCCCGCGGTGCATTTCCAAATCCTCCTTGTTGCTCTTGCAGAACTATACCATCAACAGACTCAATTAAAATGCACCAAACATTAAAAAGTCCCCTTTAAAAAAGTTGGAGGATTTCTTCAACTCAGTGCTTTGGCACAATTCTGAGGGGCAGAGAAGTCAGGCACAGGATGGTTTTAAGCAGACCACCGCCAGGGAACGTCTGCATGCAACTGCCCCCCTCCCACGCTCCCAGATGTACATGCACGAGTGAGAGCTAGCCTACATGGCACTTCAAAGGAGAACACAGAGCTTAAATGCAATCCAGGATGCGAAAACTGGGAAGTCAGTGAGACACCAAACAGGAAGAGGCCTATGCCAAGTAGTAGACAAACATATGTCAAAGCCATGTGATATGACCAAGCTCAAGCCTGGAGAACCATAATGCAGGGGGTTTCCCAGAAGCTACATTCAATTTTTTGACTTTATTATATTTACAAAAGAAAGTAAACGGCTTAGGTTGGTTCTGTTTTGTTTTTAAATGTGCAGCTAAGTGGTTTTTGACTGCATTTCTGGTAATCATTCCAAGTTATACTGCTTGCATAACCTGCTAATCTTGCAATTACTTAATAGTTTAACTCCCTACCCTTGCCAAAGTACCACCCTACCAAGGGTCTCCTAGCAAGGAGCAGAAGTGTATAGACAAAATTTCACTTGTTATATCATTGGCTGCAGATGCAATGTTAACATACGCTTCTTGTTCCTAACTATCAATTGCAATTAGTTTTACAACATACTAACCCATCAGATTAAAAAGCCTGAGAAAACTGGCACTGCTATGCAAAAGAGGAAATCCCAGTTCCTGCCTGGCTTTCTACACTAGACCACTGCTGCCAACATACCACTAGGTTTGGGGGGGCTGGGTGTGCCTAAACATGTCAAGTTAGTAATTATTTGGAACTGCCTAGGTGGCAACAGAAAAGAACAACTCCTAAAGCCAGCTGTCTTTATGCAGTAAAGAAACATATATGACTTAATTAACACATTTTTCACACTCCTCTAGTGCCTTGTGTTAGCGAGAGTGTTTCAGTGCCTTAAGCAAAATCACTCAGCCAGCCTGCTGTACGCAAAATCCGACTTCCATCTGCGCAAGCTCTAAGGAGCAAACACAGAAGTATGCAGGGCATTCGGGAGATATCTTGACCTTTCTGCTCCCATAATACCTTAATGCTGTTCAAGTAACTTACTTCCAATTATATACACCTGCTGAAATGCCAAAGGCTTTAAACAAAAATACACGCATTTGTTTTATTTTACAGTCAGCATGTATTGTCTTCAGTTTCTTCATCAAGCGAGAGCTGAGCAGCCAACCCTTACCTGAGCTACCAGAGAGCACGGTTAAGCGTTCAGTCCCCACGTACTCAACGGGTAAGCCTGAAGCAGCCTAGCACCGGCCCAGCTAGAGAGGCGCCGCAGCAAGCCCCGCAGCCAGCTAAGCCTGGCCCATGCTGTGCCCGGCAGCAGCGGGCGCTTTAGCAGCGGGCGCTTTTGAGTGACCTGGGCTGGCAGAAATGCCACCTGCTGCTTAGCACTGAACAGCACTGCCCGTGTTAACCCTTTGTGGTGCTATGCTGAGCTGCCAGCAAGGATTCAAAGCAGATGTGGGACTACTACTGCTTCCTTGGGAACGCCTGGGAGGGTGACACAGGTTCCCAACATCCACGTTACGTATCAGAAAAAGCCAAAAGGCGTTAATGTTTGATGAGGACTTTTAATCACTTAGCTACAGTGCTTACCTAAAAAATCAAATACTCTTAAGGGCTCACATCTCACTAACTTCACTCTCATTTTTAGAGTGACTCAGACAGATAACTGCAAGGTTTACGCAATGTCTATTATCAAAGTGGGGATTTACCAGAGCCTAAAAGCACCCATTATTATGTAATAACCTATGCTGTTGAACAGGGTTTGGGATCTAAACACTCCAATATGTAAGGAAGGCTAAGAAAGACTAGTTACATATGATCACTGCATAGACCTCATTAAGGAAACATTCACATAACCAAAATGTATCAGTCACAAACATCCCTCTGAGCGAAGCTCTGTTCACACCCAGGGTAAGGAAGTGAGCTGGAAAGTTCTGTTTTATATCAGCTCTTTTTAAAGCCTAACCATAAATTGTATATTACTACTTTCATTTCCTACACAACAGAAAGCTTACATCCTGGTGTATTGTACAAGTAATACATGATCAAGCAAGGAGGTTATGCTTCATCCGTCTCCTTCCTTTTCTTTATTCCCACAATACAATATGCTTCTTTCCGGACATGAATGCTTTTCCTATTCAGCCAGCACACAGGGCATGTTACGTTCCCTACTCGTGCCGCCAGGGGTACAGTTACCAACCTCACGGGTCCAAGAGCCAACAGGAGGACAGTCTAGTACACACTAAAGTCTTAAGTTTTAGAATCACATCAAGCGTTGAAGTGGTCTGCTTTTCTGAAATACTAGCTGTGTAACTGCTCATAAAAATAAAACATTTCAATAATCCTCAAATCTGGCCACAAGCCAACGGTCTCACCCTTCCTTGGCTGGTCTTGTACTACAAGACAAAAAGAGACTTGAAAAGACCCATGTCCTCCTTTAAGCACCCAGAGTAATACAGGAAAGGGATGGCACGGCATAACACCCCCCCCCACCCCCGAGCATCATACCTGCGAGCCAGCAGCAAGGCTGCTGAGCAGCCTGCCCTCCTCGTTGCCATAGCTGCTGGACTGGAGCAGGACCGTCCCCATGATCATGCTGGGCTTCACAGCAAGCCAAAGAGGCTGCTCGCCACGAGACGCCTCGGACTGCCGCTCCCGGCACAAACGCCACCCCCTGCGCGCAGTCGCTGCTCACCAGACTGGCGGCCAATGAGAAAGCAAGCGCTGCCGAGAGGGCGAAGGAGAAACGAGGAAAATCAAGCTGCGGATTATTGGGTTATTAGTTGGAAACAAAGGTGGAGCTTCCCAGGGAACTCCGCACAAGCGGAGGATGTGGGGACCGGAGTGCAAGTTGAAACAATATTGAGACGAGCTATAAAGACAGACGGTTTCGTTCCGTTAGAGTTAGGCAACAGTGTTTGGAAGAAAGCAAGCAGTTTCCTTGGAGAAATTCCTTTGTACAAATTACAAAACAGATCATCCATTAAGGGGACTGCCCAGATTGATTCACTTTCCACTCCACATACCATCGCTGGAGCACTATTTACATGAATCAAAAGGAAACTAACATTAAAGAAAATAAAAGTCTAAGAGGTGCACAAGCACTAAAGGAGGAAAATCTCTGGAATATTTTAGGATTTCAGAAAGAAACAGAAAGCAAGGACAGTACAATAAACCCCTTCTGAGCTGCAAATTTGCTGTTTGAGTAAGATTCAGGTCAGCTCTCTGAAAGAACACTATCAAATTACCCCTCAAAAACACTAAGGTTTGCTTGATGAAAAGCCTCAGTTTTCTAGCAAAGCTTGTATGATTTGTAGCAGGAGAGACTCCTCTCAACACATGGGCGAGGAAGAGTTAAAGAATAAGTGATCACCATGGATGGCTCACACCTGGGAGCTTGGAGAGCCTGCCAAGGGGTATAAAAGGGGGCAGGCAAAGGGGAGCAAGTGGTTTGGTCTTCTGTGGAGGGGAAGAGGATGTTGCAGCACATCAAGAAAAGCAGCATTTCTAAGCCTAAGAAACTGCTGTTCAGTGAGAAAAGCAGCTGGACTACTGAGTGATAAGGAGTCAAAACAGACTAAAGGTAAGAAATGAGTGACCTGGCTTGCTCCAAAGTCTTGTGTTTTGTAAAGTCATGGAATGGAAAACCGACTAGATAAATCTGTGGACACCCTGGTAACTGGTGACAAGGAGTTATTTTTCCATACATGGACCGTGCTGAACTTTATAACCCCTGCATTCACCTCACCTAATGTAAGTGGAAAAAATAACCAGACAAAGAAAATATCTTAGGATCCTCACTTGCCATTGTCCTCCTGAAGTTCTGACGACTGAGCCACCTTCTCTCCTGTTCCTCCAAAATGAAGCTTTAGTGAGCCCTGCAGCAGGCTACTTCTTAGAGACCAATGTGCCTTTACTTACAAGCTTCCTAGGTTTCATCTTTTTCCTGTTATTTTGTCTCTCTCACAGTTTACTGCTTCCTTCCCTCTTAGGGACACTGAATATTCTTAATTGCACTGGTAATTGAGTTAGCCTTAGTATCTCTATTAATACACAAAGAATAAACAGAATTTATAAGAAAGACAGCATAGCCTGAGAAAAATGTGGATGAGGCTTGGGACAAACAAGCTTCTGAGCTGGGTCTGAAATGGAATCAAGAACTGGCAAGCTACATATGGATTTGTTAATAAATTAGTCTTAACGGTAACAGTTTAAGAAGCAAATAACTTATTTACTTACTAGTTAAAATACAAGAGATGAGTAACCAGTATCTCTGGAACAAAGAAGGATTAGCAGCAAGCTAGGTTTGGTTAAAAATGCAACTTGCAAATGTATCTATTGAACCTATTACATTTAGCCTCTATCTAAAGAGCCTTCTCAACGAAAGCCTAATGGGTGGCTGTGAGCAACATTTTGCCTATCCTCCCAAGTTTCCTTGGCAGTAAAACAGCAATGCTGTCCCTGTAACGCTCCAGCTGTGCTTCTCAATGTGTTTCTCACTGCTATAGCTGTGTCCCTGCACTTCGCAGCATGTAGCTGTTTGTAAGTCCCTGTCAAATGCACCCAGGCAGAATAAAAAAAAAATCCAGCCTTTTTTCCTAATTTTTAGATAAGCAGTATTTCTCTCGCAATTTTTCTAGAGAGTTAACTATCCCTTTTGCCCATCACCACGACACCTGCATCCCCCACAATAAACCTCCTGTTCCTATTCCCTTTACAGTAAGGGCACAATATAAACTCTCAATTCCAGTACACTCGGCTTCCTCTGTGGAAGAACTCGCCTCTTAGGCACAGCAGCTCTTCCTAACTCGTAAAATTGTTTCCTGTGGTACTGTTCCAAGCAGTTTCCTGACACCATTTACCCTTCCTGTACAGTTGAAATCTTCCATTTGGAAAAATTTCTCTAGTTCATCCAGCGGTGGGAAAAAGTTAAATGTAAATATCTGAAATCTTGCTGACTACAGTATTCTGAAATCTACAGCTCGGGGAGCTTCTAAAAATTGCTATACTTTGAATTTATGAACCAACCGTAGATGTCTCTTAAGCAAAAGAATGTGTAAATAGAAATACAGCTCTGAAAAGGATTTGGTGGTGCTGGCAATAAGCCAAAGTGGCTGGCTTGGCAAAGGAAGGGAGAGGGACAAAGGAAGGGCTATAGGGTAAATACTGGTTATTGCATACAGTCTCAATTCAGAATAATTAGCATTTTACACCAAAAAACATAGGGTGTATGTACAGGGGTCTATCGTCTGGCTTTTTACAGGCCTCTTATTTACAAAGGGATACTTGAATACAAGGCTGCAAAGATTCCTGCACGTGCCACATCTTACACTTTATTTTCACTTTGGGTTTTTAACTAAATATGACATAGCAGCATGGATATTTATATTGATGTGTAGACTTATTTCATGTGCTTGTTTTTAAGATTACCAAAGAATAGGCATTAGTCAACTTAAAGCGCAAGAAGCAGACAGTCAAGTAACTAATTGTTAGTACAACTGGCATTTTCCACTGCATCTTCAAAACGTACATCGGTTCACACACTAGACTTCAAGAACTTCAATCAGCTTGTTAGCGGGAGGATTTCTGTCTTAATGAATACGAGGAAACAAAATTGATAACACAGCAGTGAGTTTCCTATTTTGCTGACATGACTGGAATAGTATCAAGTTCTACAGTAGCTTTGTTGCTGAAGCCAAGTCCCAGCACTTCCTACTAACCAAAAGTACTCAAGGCAAACTTACTCCCTACTAAAAAGCTAACCAATGCTGAACAGGGCAAGTTGCTGCTAATAATGTGGTATCATAGAGGCAGAACTATGAACTTTCTTTACCCTGTTAACAGACTTGAGCCCTTACCTAAAGGGACCACCTAGTCTCTTTGCTGACACACATATGGCCATGAAAAACATCAGATTAAAAGCTTTCAGAAAACTCACATATGGCTTTGGTAAAATACAGGCAACCTAACTAAATGCCATTCCTAGGTGTTCCTCTCCTGCAAGCAACCAGACTCTTAATAAAGTGGTTTGCTTGAGCTAAGCACAGATCTGCAGTTAGTCTTTGGGCCTCCCACAGAGCGGTGCAAGGTTTAAGGATTGTAAACAACCCACTGAATAAAGCCAAGAAATACAGCTCCAAGCCAAGAATTTAAGATGGGTGAGGAACAGGTTTCTATTTATGGTCCCAGCCTGGGAGAGACAGAATGGGAGGAGATTTCAGAGTCAACGACAAAATTGCATCATGAACAGCCCACACCATACAAAAAAAGTGTCAAGCCAAAGTGAGAGCACCTTCTTGCCTCAATTATCAGAATATTTCTGAAATAAAAAAGGTTAATAAAAGTTAGGGAGAGTAAACTAGGAGAAGAACCTAAAAGCTCTCCCTAGAGCTCTTCTCTTCAGAATAGGTTTATTCTGAAACCTAGGAAACTGCTGCATGAGGTACTTCCCTCTAGTCATTTCATGGTGGTGGGTCTTTATCTAGAAGGCACGGATTTTAAATCAAGCTAGGCAAAAACAAGTGAAGACAAGATTTGGGTTTTTGGTGTCACTGAAGTTTAAATGGAAGGAAGGAGTGGAAGTCGAGTCACAGATTGATCTCAACTAGCTGTACCAGTGTGTGGAAAATTCAACACCTTGTCTGTGTCTCCGCCTGAATTTTATATGATGTTAGTTATACAAGATTACAAAACAAAACAAACCCCTTCCCCCGCCAAGCTCCTAGAAGATGAATGAAGGAATTGTCACCTTTTCACTGGTTCCAATCATTCTTTCCCTTTTGTAATGCTAGCAAATGTTTAGAGGTGTCCTTAGCCTGTTCCCTTGTTCAGATGCCACTGACATACATGTGCCGTTTGTCCCCAATGTCTACCTAATGCAACAATTCATAATTTCTCCAAATTCCTTCTTGAAAAGAAAGAATAGAAATATTTTCTTTCCAGGAGAAAATACTTTTTTGGTACAAAATCCAGAATGAAATAAATCAAGCTTAAGCTCCAAAGTACTCATTTCAAAAAGTTTGTTCACTCCTTGCTGAATCCAAGGCGCATAGATAACTTCAACTATATGGGCTATAAGCTACTGAACTTTGAAATTCTCTCCTGAGAAGCAGTGCTACCAAATATTTCAAAGTAGATCAAGCGCTGATCATCTTCAGGACAAAAGCTTCTAACTCGATAGACAAGCTCTCATTGCATACATTTCTTCACCTCAAAACTTTGGAAAAGAGACTTGATGGAACAAAGGCAGCTAGCAAAATGATGTAACTCAAAGTACCATTCTGACTTCTTTGAATGTACTTTGAGTGAAGAAGTACAAGCCAACAGCACAACAGGTAATGGAAAAAATGCTTTCCTGCAGTGGTAGAAAAATTATTTAACACAATTAAAATAATATACAAAAGCTAGAAATATTACCTATTTTAAAAAACCCTGAATACTGCATCAAAATGTCTGCTACCTTAATTGCTAAGGATTTGTTCAGCTACTATAAAGCTAGACGGCTTTGCAATTGTTGGTATTTAGAAATAAGCAGAGAGACCATCAGCTTTAGATGCTCTGTTACATACCTCTTTCCATTGAGTACAGAG